CTTCCCAGAAATGAGTTTAGTTCTGTCATGTTCTTAAGTGTTGGCGCTTCTGTGATAGCTAAGATGTTTTCGTTGCTTGGGCGGAATCCACCGGGCGATATGATGTGTCGCAAAACTTGAATCTCGGGGAAATTCAGGCTCAAATCAAGATCACTGCGATACTGAAGAACTTTGTGGGTGCTTCATCATGCTCTTCATGTGAACGGCCAAAAACACAGATTTCATCGATTTACGCAACCTGCCCCTCAATAATCGCCAAGGCGAGGGTCATGCCACGCAGCCGGCGGAGAACTAAAACCCATTGACAACATTTTGTACTGCAATAGACCATTGGGAGCAAGCAAGACAGTAAGATGCTTCGAATTGTTCGCCAATGGCATATGCAAGTATGCACTTGGCAAATCTATCCTGGAAAATACGCTTGCACCAGCTAAACTTACTGAGCTCTTCGTTGGATGGTAACGTCATTGGCTCTTGGACAAGTTGCTCATTTTCTCCCTGCAAATCGTTGCATATCCTGACTGTGCCATCTATTTAAAGGACACTCACCTGTGGATGCACCGACCCAGAAAAATCGATGGATTTAGTCAAAGCATTTTCTGGCATCTCTTTCAGGGCTGCCGAGCCAGCTTGACGTTTTGTTTGCGGAATAGGCCGAGGTTGACCAATGGCAACGGGTTTTGCATCCCGCTTCAACTGAATGCGATGCATACCACATGGAATACGTCTGATGGACTGTTGATAAAGTTTAGAATAACGTTCATGCCATTGTGTCACTTTGCCGGAAGAGACAAACATGCAGTCGAAAGATGGTACCATTTGTAAAGCCACCGTGGCGTTTCTTCCTAGTTAGTCATCAGTTGTCCTAAGAAATGGGTACTGCAACATCTGCAGCTACCGAATGTCGCTGTAAATGCACGATCCTGAATGCTAATATGGTTAAGTTGTCTCCACCTTAACTCCAAAATGAATGTGGATTAGGCTGCAAAGTATGCTAGGATAGGTAGCGTTCATACATTCGAAAAGGTACGACGGTAACTGTAGAAGCAGAATCTATCTCCATTGCAACTGGAACAGTGCATTTAATGATAGGGGATGAGACAGTACGAACATCATCGGAAGGAATCTTCGGTTCACCAACGGATATTGTTAGAGTTTTTGAAGTGTTGGCATTAGCGAGGATCGAACAACTGTTTTCCTGTGATGGATCAGCAATATGGCCTTCAGCTGTAGCATCGTTGTTGCGATGGCTTGCAAACGATAACATCCGGCGTAGTGTCCATTTTCGCCACAGATTTTGTACTTGAGGCTGCATGCGGGAGAAGTGGAAAAATTGGTTTTATGAGAAGCACTTCCACAGCGATAGCAAGATGGCTTGTCCACTGGTAATCGTCGGAAAGATTCCACCTTTACTATCTCAGCTGGGTTGGTCGAACAGAACTGTTTCGCTTGCAATGAAATTTCAGTTTTCCTTCCGGCTAACTCGCAAGCTCCATCCCACTTTAATGTGCATGCCATTTTTTGCAACATCAGCTCATCTATACAATTGTGGGCAATTCCAGAAAGCAATTGCTGAGTCCGTATACAGCGTTCGAATTTTTTCTGTAGAATGGACGAATAATCACACGGTCGTACTGCGCGACTCATCCGGGCAGTGAAATAGTTCAAGGGTTCACCAGTTTCCTGATGCATGCGGGAGAGAACGTATTTGCCGTAAACACATTCATTTGGTAAGCCAGTTTGCGATCTAATACAATGAAAGCTTCTTTAAGGGATTTACATCCTATTAAACCAAACGCATCAATTTGTCGCTGCCTCTCTTCCCCGAGTAAATGTCGAAGCAGCTTCCATTTGCTTTCCTCACTAGGAGCAGCATGGAAATCGCTGAGTAAACCCAAGTAGTTTTGGAAGTAGGTTCTCCAACGGAGCCAGCGGAGGAGCTGATTTTGTTCTGCCACTGCAATCCGTCGAAAATAGAGATGGGTGCTGAATGGAGATGTTCATATTTTGCCTCGCGACGCCAAATGTTGCATGTAACAGAAAAATGCAGGTTGTGTATCCGTACTCCACCAGGAGTTAACAGACTTAATGCAGAGTAATCAATTTAACTGTCCGGATTTCACACAATCAGTGTGAAGATAGTCGCTGTGTTTCAGTCAGCCTGTGAGATATGAATATTAGGGATGTCGTGATGAAGCGGCCACCGCGGGGGCCTCAAATAGGTGTTCAGCAATTTTGGAAATTTTGAAGACCAGAACTTCCCGAAAGTTGTTTGTAATAGTCCAAGGTGCTGACTGGCTCTTCTCGATACTTTCGATACAAATATTGGTTTTGTTCAAATTATCAATGATGGCTTTGCGTACTTACGTCCGGTGACGACAGACATCAGTGACGAATATGTGTCATACTTAACCCGAGATTTGATGGAAGTCGTAGGGTACCCGGGTCATCTGTCGATAGGCTCATCTGTATGACTACTTACATTATTAGCCAGACGGGTTACATTCGCTTAGCGTGATAAGTTCTCCGCAGAAGTGAAAAGTTTGATTTCGTTGAATTTATGAACCCAGGTTGGTAATCCGACTTACTGGGCTATTCAAGTTGTGCTTGATAGGAAACGGCACTGCGGTTTACTATTATGCATCGACGCTAATCCTTTGGATTCAACCCATCGTAGAGAACACGTTGCGGTACCGACATTACAAGATAATGAACAATGAGTTTATATGGGTTAAGAAGTAATGCTTTCCATGTCCCGTCTGGTGGTTTTGCAGGGTTATCGAAACATAAAAAGCCGTGGGTTAGTTACGTTTAAAAAAGGGAGTTATCGTTTGTTTCGTTGTGGTCCTGCCATCCGTGTAGTTTCACAGCACAAACATGTAACAGGAACTAAACCCTGTGTATTCTAGGAGTGGGTTGGAGATGCAATACTAGCTACGAAAGTCTAGGTGAGTAAGTGAGTCATCCAAATGCCTTTAAGTACGGATAGTGATGGTGCAGAAACGACCGGTTCGCGAAGAGCATTCCACGAGGGATGAACGTGGATGGAAAAGAAATTCCTGCGGCAATCCCGGAGGCTGAACTGTTCTGCCAGTTTGTGTGAGTTGCCTCTCAAGTCTATATTACTGCTGAGTTGGAGTGAAGAGTGGCACCCACATGATGTAGATCGTGGAGAATTAAGTACACCATTAGTAAGTCACCTCGTAAGCGACGGTAATGTCCGCTGAATACCCCCAATCATTCCTGCCTCTCCTCGTATGGAAGATGGCGCATTCCATTAACCTACTTGGATGCTAGATGTTAGGGCTGCTCCAATCCACTAAGATCGTGTTTTAGCCATGGGTGTCAGGCTTGAAGTATATATTCGACATAAGAACGAACATAAGCACTAAGCATCTGCCGGAAAATAGAGCGATCTATTTGTCTGAACGCCCGTTGTAACAAGCTACATGTTAGTTACCAGTTTTGGAGGCTTTCGCGGATTGCCTTGAACAACCTCGATCATCCTGAACCAGTACCCCCGAATCACCTTCGGTGGCAACTAGCTGTAGCACACGCATTCCGAGCTTATAACAGTGGTTGTTCTGGTGTCGTATGGAGAGCACCTTGCTTTTAATCACATTGCACTGTAGTGAATTTTGGCTAGACCATTGATGTGTCGTGTCTAGACCACTCTGAAGCAGGCGTAGGTCTGTTTTCCCCTGAACCTCGTGCTAAAGTTTAATGTCATCAGCAAACAGCGGGTAGTTAGATGTAATTGCTTGTGTGAGGTCATTGATAAATACCAAAAGACTATCGGGGACGTAACACCGAGCCTTGAGGCAGGCCACATTCAACTTGTATGGGGTCAGAGAAGGAGCTACGAACTCTGACCACAATGTGTAGCTAAAGCAAAGGTTCACCTATCACTCTAATTTTGACACTCTTCCATGAAGCGCACTCCGTATTTTGATGACATTTGCTACTCTGCGTTTAACCCCTGGCTTAAGGGTTTAAATTGGAATCTTCAAGGAGTGCTTACTGCAAGCTGTCGACAATCAACACATTGTACATGCGCAGCGGAGAACTTGCTGATTTGCGGCTTGAGCAACCAAGAGCATGACGTCAGTTTCCATGACACTGCAGCATGGCTTTCAGTCAAACAACTAAGTTAAACGCAAGAAACTTACGCTACCAAAACAGGTGGTAATTCGCCATTCGCATGTTCTGAAGTCCGACGGAGCCAAAAATCTATACTGGTGGGAGGGTAGGCTGAAGGAACGAAGCGGATTCGGTAATTTAACTCATCAGGATTGCCTGGTTCTCTACTAGAGGCCGCTGATTGATTAACATTTGGTTAGGCTACATTGAGTTTGTTTAACTGTATGACAAGAACCTCATAGTTAGAACCATCCCATCAAATTGTTACAAGTCTCTTTAGGTATATTAACAAGATTTATGGACAAAATGTGCTTTCGATAATGCAGGGTCTAACACGCTGAATAAACACCTAACCTTGAAGAATTAATTACTAGGACAACTGGGCCTCACAATAGTAACTGGACACAGTTAACAGTAAATAACGAGTGGACTTCCTTTGGAGTCGGTTTTGAACCTAGAAAGTCTCTAATTGTCTTACAGGACCCATTCATTTATTCTGCTGTAAGGGTTTGCAGCTCAACACTCCTAGGTGAGCATGTCGCAAGCTGTTGATTTTCGCTTCAACGGGTTAAAACTGAAACACTCCGCATGAACCCATGCCCTTTTGAGTACACTTTGCTTATTTGGTCGCAAAAAGTATGCAACTAAAATTCGCTATACTGCATTATTTGTATCGTACATTTTGTGCTCTGACCGTGCTTACAAACAATCTTCAAAGGCACTGTGACCAAATTAACACTTGTGTTTTTTACTCATGTGTATGTTTGTTAAGGTATTTACCAAGCTGATTTTCATATCTGCATTCCCTTGACTTAAACACAATCTCATCCTTCAAAGTCTTATTGTTGTTCACTCACCAGACAATTCTGGAAATGAAGCAACAGCTTAGCTTGATGCGGATGGAGAACCAAAGTCTGCGAGATTACTTGAGAGGAACACACTTGGCGTCAGGTAAGATGTTTGCGCTGGAGAGTTTGATTGAACATTTGATTAAAATTTAGCCTACTATACATGGTGTTCGCTTGCGGAATTTCTTTGGTGGCCTGACAATATGTCCAGGGCAACCATGTCATTGCCCATTAGATTTGCAGCTAAGTAACTAGCAACAAAGGCGAGATTTAAGGTGTGTGTGTGTGTATGTCGATGTGGATACTTAAACGGAACTCTTCAGGATGTCCAAAGTAGAGTGCGGATGATGTTGGATAGAAACGTTTGATAGCCTTATACGAATGTGATACAAGTCCTAACGATTAATCAGTCGTAGATAATTCCCTGTAAGGTTTATAACATGGGCCGCTCGGTATCAGTATGTAGTTCCGATGGGGAAGAAGTACGCTGGATGTATTTTGAAGCGTCTATTAACATAGCTATAAGAGCTTTGGATTGCGAAGCAAAGCTAGGTAATTCCCTGAGAGGGATTGCTAGTGTAAAAAAACCTGTAAAGATGTAAATGTTGTTTAGGTAAACTGACAACCTTGCACCAGCTCCCACAGAAATGAATGGCTTTGAGATTAAATTCTTTTGAAAGGGACACCCGTATGGTAATTTGATGAGCGTTCCTCTTTAAACGCATATGTTTAGAGGTCTGGAAGTAGTTCAGTTCATCAACTTTGAGGCAGCTGACTTGTTACAAAAACGGACAATAGCAGAAATTAAAAGATGAGGATCATAAACATCGCCAGAGGAAAAGTACAGAACGCTTCATATCAATGCTCACAGTCAGATAGTGGCTTTCGAAATTCAGTGTGGTTGACATCATAGCGGGGACCAGTTCAGTCAGAAGTAATGTACCATAGATTAACACACGCTTGTTCACTCCCTCCGCTCAAACCTCAGCATTTTATATCTAAATGCTGTAGCTGCAATGCCGACCACGTGGTTATGATGGAGCATAGATTTCTAGTCACGTGGATAAAGTGATGGATCGCGGAAACGAGTTTCGCCAATGTCCCCGCCGAAGTCCTAAAGATCAAGTTGATGTGGCGCTGAGGATTTATTCTACATACCCACCGTCGGCTAACATCTCATGTGGTGGCATTACACATACCGATTTATTTACGCACAGTGTTTGTCAGTATTAGGCAATCATCAGTAATATATATAAAAATCTGTCAGTATAGCGGTCAAGTCCCCCTGCCGTTCCGGGGCACTATGCGGAAACTCTTAGCTGGTGGGGCCCACCACTGTCCTCTGCACAGTTCGTAACTGGCATGGCAGAGGAAGATGATCCGGGATATATCATAGTCAACTGTCAATCGCGCAGGTCCGCGGCTGTCACCTATGGGGAAGTGGCACTAGCTGCTGGCATGCAGAAATCATGAGGCCGGAACCCGCCAGAAGTCCACCGGGAGTCGCACCACTGACGAGACCCAGAAGGTCGAAACGTCGGCGTTTGGTACTTTTCCAGTCTAGCCTAAGCCTGTTGATTGGGAGTGGCAATGATGAATTAGCTGCAGAATTAGGACGATGCTTGTTTGCTATAAGTGATGCGTGTCAAATTCAATCTTTGTTTGGAAAGTCATTAGGATTTAGTCGCGATGATGTGGGTTATATGGTATATTCGCCCCATCGTCGGTGCCGAACGCTGCTAGGTATAAGCATTGTTAATAGTCCGCTATTGAAACAAGCACACATTTGGCTAGAAAACAACACGCGCCTTTTCTGGGTCAATCCATTTTCTTCAAATATAGACATGTAGTTCTGTTAATTAGGTGGCCATTGTTTAAGTGGACATAATGTCACAAAACGAGATTCACGACACAGGGGAACAGCAAATTGACGGACATTCTGGTTCAAAATGGATGTGTAAATTCCTGGACCACTTCTAAGAGACTGTTGGTCCGCAACGCTTGTCATTAATAGCCTTGTAATTCTGCTCTGGAAACTGTGGCAGTGCACACCGAGCCAGCCACAGTACCAGGTGTAATGTCATGCGCTGGCCAATAGCCATAAAAGCAATCACTTCGCAAAGCCAGCAAGGTTGTATTAGAAGAAAAAAACGAGAATTTTCCAACGTGTCAAAACGTACTACCGACTGGTCCAGTGTTGGAAACTGACCACAATTCAGTATCACATGCCGGTACATTTTTGCATTTCTGGCCAAACTTACTTTCCCGCTCGATTTTAACAAAAGGAGCGCTTAATTTGGCAATGTACTAAGTGTAAAAATGATATGTCATTAAGTAATATTTATTTTGATACAAGAAGCTTTAGCGACAACGAAGGATCCTTTGAATAAAGTCTCTCCCATCCTCCCCATTTTCTTAGATCCGAAACAGGAAGTATGCTGTAAGACAGAACAACAAATATCGGGAGAGGATGATGAACTGGAGGAACACGAGAAATCCCTTTTGCTTACACGCGAACTGCTAGAGGAGTACAAGAAGGAAAATGAAGCGTTAAGGTGAACTAAAACGCAACAGAACTTTGCGTGCTCAAACAATTAATACTTCGCTGCACCTTTCCCATCCAAAGTGTATGGAATATAAAAAATCTTTTATGGCAGATAGGTTGGTTAAATTTGATCGATTCACTTTTGGCTAATGCCAACCTTATATAGTTGACTGGATCCCAGCAATCTGCTTCCTCACTTTAACAGCTTAAAAAAGGATTTTCACCGACTGTATTACCCAGGGACTGCGAAAAATCGCTATCTGTCCCACCCGTAATTGAGGGTACTTGTTACCCTCCCATCTTGCAAGTCATAAAATCCAAGCAAGCTTTTAAGTGAGATATGCGAATATGTGAAAAAAACTACCATGACAGAGACACACGAATTAAAGCTTGTCACATTCCGAGTATCTCCATGGACTTTCCTCATTAAACCGAATGTGTTAAAGACAGTTAGCACACAGTACACACAGAGTTAAAGAAATTTGACTTAAACAACAAATGGACTGCTAGATACCTACAACTAACCTTATCTTTCCTTATTAATTCGCATAAAATGAAACGTGTGCCTGTGTCACCTATTCGCCCCCACCGTACCAGCGACTGCAGCCGAGTTTCACAACGAACTAAACCTGAAAACAGCAGTGGCAACATGCTTACTGACTGAATACCCCGTGAACCATACAATCGCTGATCTGTGAGAAATTTTCTGATCTGAAACTATTCTTAATTATTTTGTTTTGATTCACGGAAATTATAACCTCCCTTTAGTGTGCAACTGATCGCTGCCCGTAGGAGTTGTATAACGTTTGTCGGCAATTGTACAAATTTATTATTCATTTACTGAATACTCGCTTATTAGATTTGGCCCAGTAACCTTGTGCTTGATTCTGGTACAATAGTGATTTCGGTCAGAAGCACTGGCAACCATCCGCAATCCGCATAAGCCAAACTACGCTGATGCATCCGCTCTTCTATCCTCCTTAAGTCGAATGAGGTAAATGAGATCATAGTCTGGGGTGCTGAAAGCTAGTCACTAAGCGACATACGAAATTCAGCCAATGGAGTAGTTCTGATAGACTGCATTTTTGTAAACAGAACACAGATCTTGTGTCTATACGTGTAAGCTCATATAACTTTTCGAATTTAGATTAATGGGTTGAGATTGAAACATTCTACGGTGGTTGGCACCGAAACGCACACATCTATTATAACAGCGTCCATGAGTCAGTCGCATGGCTGTACTTACCACATCTGACGGCTTATACCTAATGTGCTAGTCTGTGACATTCCAAAGTATGGCTGCAGCCGCCAAATGCCATTGAAAGCATTTCTAAAACTGGATGTTTGAATGGCCGCCTTCGATTCAAACAAAAGAAAAGGGTGTTTTATTTATCGTACCGCCGGAATCGCAAGCCAAGTCCGTGTGTCTTTTCCACATGAATATCCGTTCAGTTCTCATAACTGCGAGGAGCGCTTTGAAGAGACGATGAACCGCTCAGTCACAGGGACGGCGAATGCAATTGTCTTAGCTTTGACACAAATATATGCATAGATGTTACTCCGACTTTGAGTTTCCGACTGGTGAGGTGTTCCCTGTACCCCACGCCACTGCGAGTAACCAGGACTCATCCTAACTCTCAGCAACATTACCATGACAAAAGTAGGAGTAGAAAAAGAGACAGCATGGAGGCATTTTGCTTTGTATGAGCCTTAGAGTGGAGTGGCGCTGAACGTTTGGTCAGATGAGTAAGTAACTGGCGAATACTTGAGATGACGACAAAGCAGGCACGTCAAGATCAAGCAGAAACGTTTTTATGGTAGATGAGTGCATTGCTCGAATAGGACTAAACGAACAGCTCCGGTTGAGCGGCCTGAGACAGATTGTGATGCGTTGTCTATATCCAAAGTAATCACTGTTAAAGTGCTCTACCTGTCCATAGTACTCAGAGTCGAAGTTCATCAATAGGTGCCGGATAGATTGCAGCCGTTTTAGATGTATAGGCTCACTTTTCTGGATGCCAAACTTGGTACAGGACCACAGCTTTCATTGTAGCACTTTCATGCGGCTGATTACATTTAGTTTTATTTCTTTCTTGCAATGCAATTTAGAGAGCAAAACTCACTGCTAGAGCAAACCGACTGATGATGGCGATGATGATGATGGCTGTGATAGGGCCGCAGAATGAGCACGCGCCTGTCATCAGCCACGTAAGGCAATTTAGCTTGAGATAAGTTCCCGATGTGGTGTATGCTCATGCTCCATTGCTAAGACAGTGAACAACTAAGCGGTGACATGAATTACTCCCCTTAGCTTGCAACCCCGACTAGCATTCAGATTGAGGCGCAATGATCCGAAGCTATCAATCGTTGGCTTGACTCCTGTGGTCTGTCTATACCTTAACCGTAGATGGGCTGTCATGCAGTGGCATTTTGGTTCGCTCAACTTGAGATGCTCCTGAAACTATCGATGACTTGGGACACTTGTATCGTATTCATGGATATAATCGAAGGCGAATTCGGAATGGATCCCATGTAACTGCGCAGGACTTAAACACCCTTAAAATCTAATATTTGGTTATAGGAGATTGGTTCGTGACTACCTAGAACTTAGGGAAATTGTTACAGTAGTTACGGAACTTAAGCAACGGTTAAAGTTCTCCAGAGATCTCAGGGGGACGTTGGCGACATTTGTGCTATGCCCTTCCCAAGGAGACTTCAAGAGGAACTGCATACAAAGGAAAGCAAAGCATACTGTGGGAGTTGTTGTGCATGCGTACGAGAATGCCCCAGCGAGCATCAGCTTTGGTATCTACGGCCTGCTACTGGGCGTGATACTGTATATTTGATGTCAGAACGAAGTGAGGATATGCTTCTAAGTAAGTTGTTCTCAACACAAATGGTGCAGCAACTGGTGGTAACAGTCGTGTAGCCCTCCGACGGTTAAACCAATGTGGCCAATGATCGAATTCAACTAAACTGCTCTAAGTTTGAAACACTGTTTAATTTATGGGGTTTCTCACTGGCCATTTCACACCTCCGCTTCTTATTACTGCCATCCGTGTTCACTTCGCAGTAAGTGCTATTCATCTGCCATGCTCGGTCCAGGTCACTCCTGTCCCATTTAGCGTCACTGGCTCATTCGTGCCCTTGTTAATTCTCCACTCTCCTCCTGGGTGACTGTCATTCACGTACGATAAAAAATCCCGCAGTGGAAAGCTGGAAGACAACACCATGCAGCCATTACCCTGAGGACATTTATGGCTCAGGCAATGCATTTCCGTGTGTAATAATACATCTTCGGTCGATGCAATGAGTTTCGCCGTTTCCATCTCATCTAGCAACACTGTAAAGGCTGATAGCCAACTACAGCAACTTGTAAATGCTGGGATGCGCCACACCCCAAGGAGAGTGAACAATGTCCGGAATGAGGCCACATATTTGCAACATGCAGAAAAATGCGTTATTTTGTTAGTTGCTACCAGGTTACTAAGGTAAAGGTGTTCAACCGTGACCACTTACCTTTCAAATAGATACATTTGACCAGAGATCTGTCCCAATCAGGATTGAAGAAATGTGTCTGCTTGAGGATGTTGATGGGTGATAAAGTAGAACATCACTCGGACACTGACGCTTCCAACAACAATATTCCAAGAAATTGCTGCCTATGAGTACAGTTGCGATGTGGTCAAGTTTGCCTGAACATGTTGGCTTCCTTCAGACTCCCTTGGAAGGGGCCGGCCGCACTCAAAATATTCAATCTCAATGTCTAGTCTTAGCATCGGTTGAATTTTTCGGTCGCCATAAAAGAGTCGGAGCTGATTTTCTGCAAGGAACAGTGAACACTAATGACCTCTGAGTTATGACGGACAAAGACCTCTGCCTGACAAATTCCGTCGGTTGACCGGGACTGTAAGACAAGTAACTACTAGTCGGAGACGGTGCGCGAAATTAAGCGCGGATATCAGAAAGAAATTGGACTCGGACACATGGGACTGTATTCAATGGGCTACAAGAAGAGTCGGACGGATGAAGCCAGACAGGAGCAACATGTTGACACGGAAATTTACAGAACGGTCATGTGACGAGCCGAATGTAAGGAAGACTAAAACCAGAAAGAATAATGTACATTTCTTCAACAATGCAGTAGTACATAAAAGATAGCAGTTATCTTTTGGGGCGCTACGAGTGGGAGCTTGTAAAATGATTGTCTATAGTGACAAAACAAAAGCGAAACTTCTAGTTTAAGGTGACTCGCCGAGTTGTTCACATTAACACATGCTGGTCTGCCCACACAAATGTAAGCGCTTCTTTCTCCCCCGCTAAATAATGGCCTTCAGAATCTGGGTTTTCGAGATGCGTGAGCAATAACTTTCTCTGTTCCACATTGTAGCGGTGACAGAATAACACCCAGGCCAACATCAGACGCAACAGTCGAAACAAGATTGCAGCATACTTCAACAAAGATGGTAACTAAGAACGAAAGCGCAACCCTTTATTTCAGTTCATGGAAAACGTTTCGCTGATCAGTTCCAAAAATGAACGACGCTCCTTTCTTTCTCATTTATCGTAATGGATCGGCTAGGGTCACAAAATTTTGCAAATAGCGCATGATGTAGTAACATCTTCCCAGAAATGAGTTCAGTTCTGTCATGTGCTTAGGCGTTGGTGCTTCTGTGATAGCCAGGATGTTTTCGTTGCTTGGGCACAATCCAATAGGCGATTTGATTTGTCGCAGAACTTGAATCTCGGGGAAATTCAGGCTAAAATCAAGATCACTGAGATACTGAAGAACTTTGTGGGTGCTTCATCATGCTCTTCATGTGAACGGCCGAAAACACAGATTTCATCCATTTATGCAACCCGCCCCTCAATACCCGCCAAGACGTGAGCCATGCCACGCAGCCGGCGGAGAACTCAAACCCATTGGCAACACTTTGTACTGCAATAGACCATCGGGAGCAAGCAAGGCAGAAAGATGCTTCGAATTGTTCGCCAATGGCATATGCAAGG